TTTTAAAGCCGTGAGGGCAGCAGATCCCATAAGAACTCTGCAGTTAAACGTGCCCGAGTGAGGGCAATTCAGGGATGGGTGACCCCCTGGGAAGTTTTCGTGCCGGGAGCCCAAAGCGGACAATATTGTGATACGTGTCAGAGAGGGATGTTACAATACTCGACATCATCCCCCCTCATTCAAAAAGACTCATTCTATAGCCTTGTATGACCTCATTATCACAACTAATATCTATGATGTGTTGTCTTTAAAAAACTTCGATATCTTTGTTGATCTCGACCATTTAAAACTATCCTTTATGATGGTTTCAATATTGAGTAGAGAATATGGTTGTGAATGTATAATTTTTGTGTATTAGACAGTGACTTTATTGTATTATTATTTCAATTTTGTGTATTAAAATGTAAATTAACTTTATTAAGCTATAAATTTTATGCATTAAACTGTGAATTAATTGTATTAAGATGTGAATTGACTATATTAAGTTGTGGTTTTTTATGAATTTTTTATTTACTTCTGAAATATGAGACGAAAGAAATACACAAAATTGATTTATCTAATTCTGAATAAAGTATGTCAAATTTAAACTGTAAATATTGTGTAAATATACTTTGAAAGAATCATCAGCCTTCAGATTTGAAGGTATAAATGTAAGTTTTAAGTTGAAAAATATGGTTGTGAATGTATAAGTTTTGTGTACTAAATTGTGAATTTATTATATTAAACTCTGAATTTTATGTACTAAATTGTAAATTGACTGTATTAAAATATGAATTGATTATATTAAGTTGTGGATTTTTTACAAATTTTATGTTAAAATATGAATAATTTATGTACGAATGTTTGTATTAATTTTCATGTGAATATTTTTTTTGTTGTATAAATATATAAGAACATATTAGTTTTTACAATTATTTTGCATTAAACTATAACTTAGTGAATTAATTGGTTTATTAAACTATAAATATAATATTTAAGCTGTAAATACATGATTTTATATATATATATATATATATATATATATATATATATATATATATATATATATATATATATATATATATATATATATATATATATATAGGGAAAGGATCAAATAAGAACACCTAAAATGTTGAGAACGCGAGAACAGTTCTAGACCAATAATTTCATAAGGGTAAAAAAAGAATTTTACGATGTAATTAAATATGGATAATTAATAACTCCTAAAATCATGGGATGTTATCTAATTAATTATTTTTTTACCTAAATACTAGAAATGTATTTAATCTATTTTTAATCAATAATATTATTTAGAAAAACATTTTTACCCTGATTAAAAAACGTTTTTTTTATTAGCAATCTATCAAAAATATTGATGAGTTATTCATTTAATCCGAATATGTGTACATATTCATCAGTGAATAAAGGTGTTCATTAAAAAAAATATTTTTTTCAAGAATTTCCAGAAATTACATGATACCATATTAATCATGAATGATTAGAAAATAAACAAAAAAAATTGATCTAATATTCATCTAACAACAATCAATAGAAATATATTAATCTAGTAGCATTCATAAATGAGTAAAGTCACATTACTTTTATTCAACAATACATACATCTAATATTCATCAAGTTTTATTCTTAAACGAATAAAACTAAACTTAATTCTACTCATAAATACATATTTGTTTCTTTTTCTCGCTGCCACATGGGTTTCTTTTTTCTTGTGATGAATCTTTTCATATGAAATACGATGCTTTGGTATTAACTTGTTCTGTTTTTTGACAGCAAAAATTCGCAAGCAACATTTTGTAAGGGTCATAACTATTTCGAATTCACCTGCCTTGAATACCTATCACAATTTTAGACAAGTGAAAAACCAGCCTTGATTTTTCATATTTGAAATGCAGATAAAATAGATATAATCATAAAATAAATACAATACAATAAAAAGATAAATAAGTCCAATACATTTGCAATCCTAAATGAATAAAGCATAGTTATGATATACAAAAAGAATCTAAAAACACGTATAATCATAAATAAATAAATCACGGTTTCAATCATATATAAAAAAAGTCAAGATACAAATATAATAAAACATGAATAAAGCATAGTATAGAGATAAACAAATCTGATATATCACAAGCACAAATGAATAACGCATAACTGTAATCGTATATAGTAAAAATGAAAATTCAGTACTAATCGTAAATGAATAACACAAATTTCTAATCAGATATAAAAAAATCTTTGTAATCATAAATGAACAAAATATTATAAGAATCAATTTTCAAAGTCAACTAAAGCATTTGTAATCATACATAACATCTAGAAATTAAAAATAAATTGTTGGAGCAATGGACAGTACAAAAAATTAAGATAACTAAGTAAAAAAAGGAACCAAATTTGTGTGTTTACTGTGTATCAATAAGGACAGATAATCTTTGTCCTTCCACCCTCCTGTTTTCGTTGTTTACGTCTGAAATGGAAGCCATCCAAGAAAAAAAAATTGTGTCCCAACTCTAATTTTAATTTTAAGTTACAATTGAAGGGACTTACTTTGCCACAATCTCTAATTGTACAAAAAGAGGACATGTCTTCTTCAACAGATTGAGAAAAAGGGCACAATCGAATAGGAGAAACCGATCAAAATCGACGGGGGATCAGTTGAGGCTAGCACGTCGTGAGGAGGGCATCAATCAATTTCCAGTGATCCCTCCTAGACTCCCTTGACCTCATCGTTGGCAGTAACCTAACCGTTAAGAGCAGCAACAATCGTCGGTTCCATAGTGAGCGCCATTGCTGCTCGGTCTAAACAAGAGAAGGAAGAAGGACGGAAAAGAGGGGAAGGAAGGGCGTCGATTCTCCGGCGACCCTTGTGGCTACGAAAATCGAAGGTGCAGATGATGGAGGCGGTGAACTGATTCAACCCTAGGAGAGAGAGAGAGAGAGAGAGAGAGAGAGAGAGAGAGAGAGAGAGAGAGAGATACGTAATTGGAAATAAGAGTGGGAATGAGAAATTATAGGATTGACCTAAATTTCATTTACTGTTATACCCTTATGCCATTTTAAAAGTTACACTTTACTACAAATAGTTTTAGAATTAACATAAATTACCCGGTTGATAATAGCCTTAGATTTGAATATTTATATGGATCAGATGTGTTCTTGCGTTCTCAACCTTTTTGGTGTTCTCAATTGATCCTACTCCTATATATATATATATATATATATATATATATATATATATATATATATATATATATATATATATATATATATAAGTATGATTCGGAAGGAATAATGATTACGACAGTGATACATGTGGTATGCGGTAACGTGTGGTAGTAGAGTTTATGCTTGACTTCTTTGAATATGTTAATTAATATATAATGAACTGTATTAGGTTGTGAATTTTTATATATTAAATTGAATATGGACTATATTAAGTTTTGGATTTTATTTAAATTTTGTGTTAAAATAAAAATGAATGTATGCATTAAAATATTAGAATGTGAATTAATAAATCAATATGTTTATTAAACTATGAATATAATATTTTGAATTCTGAATATGTTTTATAAACAATATATATATTTTTTAAATATCTACAATTTAGAATAGAGAAAATTGAATTTGTTAATGCATAATTTTATTTTTTAATTAAATTTTATATATTTGATCGTAAAAATGAAAATATATGTGTTCATAAGTATTACCAAAGAAAATGTGATATAAGGTGTTTTTTAAATGACTTTTGGCAAAAAGATTTATTTACTTATGATTTTTTAAAAAGAGTTTATAAAAAAGTGTTTGGATCAACTTTTGTTGTCAATAAGTCAATAAGTTAAAAAATATTGGCTAACTTTTATATGTAAAATGACCAAAAATGATTTATTTATTTATGATTTTCCAAAAAGCCATGTTTTTATAACTTTTTGAAACCTTCATTTTCCCCTTTGCCAAAAAGTCTTTTCAAAATGATTTTTCAAGAAGCCAGACACCTTTTTAACTTATTGTTTTTTTTGAAAAAGTCAATAAATTAATAACTCGATTTAAGAAGTAATCCCAAACACTCCTAACATATTTGGTAAAGACTTTGCTTCTTAGATTGGAGGTCGTGCGTATTAATCCCGATGTTGTTGATTTTTACTAACTTGGTGATGCTAATTTATAACTACTAACTGAACGTTCAACAAAAAGTAAACGACTTGATAAATACTTTTCGTAATTAACTTTTATTTTATACAACATATTTTATAATAAAAAATAATAACATTTGCTTTAGATTGTCACAATTTAAAGAAAATAAAATTTTTCATTATATTACAATCAAAATTCACATTTCTTTATTTTTATCAGTTTTTTTTAGTATTTTAATAACATTTATTAGTTTAATATTTTATTTATTATTAATTTTTTACTTATTTATGACAAAGTAACATTTAACATACTTTCATATGCGAGACGTCATTATTATTTTGTTTCCAAAAATTTTATATGGAATTTTATCTATGAAATAAGAGACTGTCTATATTTTATATTTTACTTGCACTTCTCTTTTATATATGTTGTTAATGTGTCTCATTTCTGTTATCACTTATAAAGAGTCATATTTTTTTTGAAATAAAAAATCAAAATGTGTCAATTAAGGCATTACTCTTTATTAAGAAATAAAAAGGTTTTTTTTTCGTTCACAAAATAAATTATAAAACTTTACTCATCACGTAGTTGACGTAAGTTTATAATTAATACTAAAATAACTAATATATTTATTGGAAACATAAAATTCAAAATTATGAAAAATTACAATAAATTATGTCAATATGTCACAACACTTGCTAGTTAACATTTATACACGAATATTTCCATAAATGAAAACCAAATCATGAAAAAATAAAAAATATTAAGAGGCCCCACCTTGATCTTCTAACGTACGCTTAAAAAGCCCCAAAATTTGAACGCTTTATATGCTCCCCCTCTCTCTAAAATTGCACATTCTCATTTTCCCGCTACTCCGTCGTGATCTGAATCTCTCTCAAATCCAAACTCTCTTCTCTCTCCATAGGCCGCCCCTAAATCTCCGCTAAAGCCCTAGCAAAGGTTTGTTATTTTTTCAAACCTCTTTCAATGGCGATTTACTCTACAGATACCCTCGTATCTGTTTCCGCAAACTTTTTCTCTTTCTTTGTCATTTTGCCATTAATTTGACGGTTACAAAGCTTAGGTTAGCTACTGTCTCTCTCAGTCACTCTTTATATATAGATGTGTATATCATTGATTGACAACGGGTGGATCTTTTGAGCAGTGAAATAGTCTCGAAGTAAGTTTCAGTTTGTGTGAAACTTAATTTTGATGTGCTTTTTTGATCACTCGATTGCAATGTAGATTAATTAAAGGTTGTCGGTGCTGCTTGCGGTAGGGCTACTTAATATAGGGTATGGATTTGGTTGTTTTCGTGAGAGATTCAGAAATTAGTTGCTTCTAACTAATTTAGAAATCAAGTTTCAAGATTTCCCCCTTTGGTCATCGATGAATATGAGAAAAATGCATGCTTTTTTGGTGTCGGAATAGCTTTAATCTTTTATCGCTATTGGTTTTCGATAAATGTTGACCTATATGCATCTATATGGTTTGTTAATTATGTTTTCTGGGGACTCTTTCTTTTTATGGTGAACTTAGGTTATTATTGATTCTACTTTTTCTATCGATTATAGGTAATCGTTTCTCAATCAATCGGATAGATATATGTGATGGCTGGAGGAAAGGAGGAACTGCATACATTTGATTTTTCAAAAGAGGTCGGATTCACTTCGTGTTCATCAATTTCTGATAGTAGCTGTGATGCTAACACACCGCGATCTCACTGCAGTCGTTTGTAAGCTTCTTAAGTTTCATTTATTGTGTATTAATGTTATATTGATGTCATTAATTACTGATAAACTTTGTGCTTATAGAAGCGGTGGTCAAACTAAACGTTCATCACAAGCAGGCTGGACAGATGAAGAGGTTAGTTGGTCTTCTCGCTTGTATTCAAAACACATTCTTTCTTTCTTTAATTAACTTTCCATATGAAACTGTAGATCATTCACTACTAGAAGATTTATGTGGGAAAAGGTTCTTAAATTCTATCTAATTTTCTTTCTGTGTTTTGCATTATAGGACACTATGTTGACTGAAGTAGTGAAGAAGTATAACGGGAGAAACTGGAAGAAAATAGGTGTGCTTTTTGCAGTCATGCTGTCACTTTGCTTCATATATTACATTCTAAATTTTTGTTTTTTTTTTAATAAAATTATTTCATTGTCTTGTGAAGCTGAATCTATTCCAGGAAGATCAGATGTTCAGTGCTTGCATCGTTGGCAAAAAGTTCTTAACCCTGATCTTGTTAAAGGACCTTGGACCAAAGAGGTAAATTTGGGCTTACATTATGTTGTGTTATGAAATAGTTCATTAGTTACTTATTAAGTTTACTTTTCAAATTTGTATTCAGGAGGATGATCGTATTAAGGAGTTGGTTGAAAAACATGGCTGTAAGAAATGGTCACTAATTGCAAAACATTTAGCTGGTCGAATTGGCAAGCAGTGTCGTGAGAGGTACTGATTAAGATTTAAAACACTCTTTTTTTTATAAAGTCTTCAACTTTTCATGTGAATTTTTTTTATTTTATAAATTTGAAATAAATTGTATTGTTTTTCAGATGGCACAACCATTTAGATCCAGCAATAAAGAAAGATGCATGGACAGAAGAAGAAGAATCATCTCTCGCATACTACCACCACATATACGGGAACAAATGGGCAGAAATTGCAAGATTTCTTCCAGGAAGGTAAAAATAAAAATAAAAATAAAAATAAAAATTACTCCTTTCTTAATTTTGTTCTTTTTCGTGTGTTTTACCATTTTGGGGAATTACAGGACTGATAATGCGATTAAAAACCACTGGAATAGCTCGAAGAGGAGATTGGATCTAAACATCCCTCCTGTTTTTCCTACTAGAACAGCATCCCCTGAGCTTAGAAAGAGAAATGTTCCAAATACATGTTCAACAAATCTGGCTCTTGGAAACCCTAAATCTGTTATTACGGATGATGATAATTTGGGGTTTTCTAGATATACAAAAATCCGTAAGGTTGAACCATCCGATAGTTCTCTTACAACGTCTGAAACGCCTAAAAGGTCAAAATCAGATAGTTTTAAGGATTTGAAATTTGGGAATTCACCCGATAATTCATTTCTAAGTCTTTCAACTTTTGGATTCAGCGAAGGGAAATCTCAAAAATTAGTTTGTGGAACACCTTCTTATGGGTCCTTGTGTTACCAGCCACCACAGCTGAAGAACTTAGCGATTTCTTTAGAAAACAACCATTTTTATTGCTCGACTCCTCCTGATCTTGCATTAAGCATCTCTGTTAGTAGTCCAGAATCTATTTTGAGGAATTCGGCAATGAGTTATAAGAACACTCCTTCAATTATAAGGAAGAGAACTCCAAGAAAATCCGTTAGTGCAACATCTAGTTATGATTTCAGCAAAAATGTGGAGACTATTGAATCGGGAAACACAAACCGGGGTTCGGAATCTTGGCTTCATCGATCTCAACCATCGTTAGGAAGGCGTCTGGATTATATGTTTGATTCAGAATGGGACCCAACCATGGTTAGATGTCGCACCCCCGGTTCGGTTACTCCATCATCAAAACCCATCGTCATGCTCACTCCTTGATTTAGTTTAATTAGTGAGTCCCTCTTTATGATTTTCTTCTTCATTTTGAATCTTTTTTTTTTCTGTGTTTTAATGATTCATTACTCAAATTGTTTCCTTTTCTTTTTGTATGGATGCAGACATAATAATGGTTTCAAGACAATTGTGATATATAATATAGGAGGATATATCTTTTGATGGTGGTGCAATGGAAGTTTCAGGTGAGAAAAACCGCTCGTTTTGCCTGATTTCTATGTCACAACTTAAGAATGGCACCATACTTCTTATGTGAATACTTTTTTTTTTTTATGCTTAGAAGATAGTTTTGTTTTGGACTATATGATATCAATAAGGGAGTTGGTTTTGTTGAAGATAATGTTTTTTAGGAAATGGTCGATTTAATGCGAGGTACAACTTCTGATGCGTGAAATACATGTCATAAGTAACATGATTGTGTGTAAAACTGGTAATGGATATTGTCTTTGTTATGGGAGAATGAGAGTTTGTTTTGGACTTATAGATGACTACTATATTCATTACCATAAGCTTTACGAGTTACCTTGTATCATATGAGGAGTTCATACATCCTCACATGTTAACTACAAACTCCTTACTAACCACGTAAGAATTAATCCCATTGTGGTCGTATATCTAGACAACTACTTCGTGATAAGAGGTGCCATCTTAATATTGTCTTATTCGCCCTGTAACGAGGACATGTCTTGGCCTTTCGAAAACAATGAATGCATTCACACATAAAACATAAAACCCAATCAATGAGTAAAAGAAACGCGACTTCTTGTGGGCACAAGCATCCCATATTCCCATATAATTCAGTCTTATGGTTCTTCACTATCCACATATGACATTTTTTACTAGGTGCTCATTTTGAGAGTGTATATGTCCGTGTTATGATCAACTAGTCTTTATATAGAAGAATCTTATAACTAACTCTCCTGAAATATCAAGATGTTCCTTGATTTTTACTTGATCCAGTTTTTTAAGAAAGACTTCAACGTCTATTCTTGTTAGACCGTGTGTCCTTTGACTTAGTCTATACTGTTTTAGACAAGTCTTCATCATTTCATTAAGAAAGACAAGAAATACAACGACAGTCTCAAAATTTTGGCTAGTTTAACATCTTGGATTACTCAGCATATTAGTAAGTTCAACATGTTAGTACCAATGAGTAAAAGTAAAAATTCTACTCATAACACTAAGCGTATGGTAATGAATGTTATATCATTAGTTTAAGTTTGGAAACCTCTCAAATTAAAATAAAAATCAAATGGCATAAGAACTAACCATGTCAAAAATTATAAGAACTAACCATGTCAAAAATCAAAAATTTCGACCGGAAATGCAATTTACTATTTTTTTTTTTAAATCATTTGGAAACCTCTCAAGTTAAAATAAAAATCAAATGACATTTTGTTCGCATAAATTTTATAATGAAATGGGTAAATTACACGAATGGTCCCTATGGTTTGGGGTAGTCTGCGCGGTTGGTCCCTAAACCTTTTTTTTAACTCGGACAGTCACTATTACGTGTTTTTGTTGCACGTTTGGTCCCTAACACCCTGGAAAAGACTATTTTACCCTTTTTAATATATTTTTTAATCTTTTTATTATAATTCTTGTAACTATTAATAGAAAAATTTATAATTAAATATGAGGGACCTACACCTTTATCCCTTACCTTTTACCATTTTACGTTCATCTCCAATAAAACTTAAAACCCACGGAACGTCATTTGCCCCTCCCATGTTTTTCAACTGTGCCCTATCAGAAAAAGGGATTGTTGGAATCGCCATCAATCCCCCTCCCTTCCACCTCCGATACCCTCTATTTGTCATTAGGTACCGACCAACACCTACCGATTGATTTTGAAAATGAGAAATTGATTATCAGATCTCTTTTTGCAGCCTTACCGGAGAAGACAAAGTGCTTTGTCGGAGTCGGAAATCAGGAGTTCACGACACACCTACAACCTTTTTCTTGTAAGAAATTTCGTCTGAAAATCAAGGCTACGTAACACATACATACACATCAAGGGTTTTCGAGACCCAATTGTAGGTTTGTTTCTCTCTGGGTATGAGACCCACCTCCCCTCTCTTTTTTCTTTCTCTTGCTGGTCACCTCTGGACCATCGACTTGAAGCATCATATATGCAATCGATCTTTATGATGTTTCTGAAAACATATTTTATAAATAACTTCACATTGGTTTCAGATTCGTTTTAGGAAATTAAATTTCATTTTGGTTGATTGTGATTTTGGTTTTAGGTTGGATTTTAGGGTTGATTTGGTTAGCTTTGGTTTTGGTTGCAGGTTCCGACGGTGGTTGCCAGAATAACCGTTGGTGGATGTCGATTTTGACTAGAGAGGTTGTCAGTGTTTACTAGAGTGGTTGTCGGGGTCTTTTTACATGTGTGGAAGGAAATAAATAAGGGGTGGGGACAAAAAGAGGAAGGAGATGAAGGGCTGCCAACGATTGTGGGGTTTTCCGGCAAGGGTATGGAAGAGAGAATCGACTCTTCTTTCAATGTTCCATGGAAGAAGAAAAACATAAAAAAGATGAAGAAAGGGTAAAAGGGTTTGATACGGTTGTGGAGTGGGGTCAGTTGCTGGGACCCATCTATATATTAAACAATTTCTTTAACTAATAAATAATTTAAAATATATATATAGTTAATTGGAAAAGAAATATCGAGGGGCAATAAAGTCTTTTTAAGTCTAATAGGGACCAAACACGCAACAAAACTATATAATAGGGACGGTTCGAGTTAAAAAAAAGGTTCAGGGACCAAGCGCGCATACTACCCCAAACCATAGGGACCATTCGTGTAATTTACCGTAATGAAATCAATTTTATAATCAATATGCTTCTTTTTTATTTATTTTAATATAGATTAGTTAATATAAATATAACTATTTTATAATCTTATTGTTTATTATTGTTTTCATTATTTATATTTGTTTTAGAAATTTAGAATTTTTGTATTTTTCGATTTCAAAATTAATTACACCGTCGTAATCTTTATAAACCATCAAGCTGCATGAAAAATAATTATAAAATATTGCATTTAAACAAATAAAAAAGGGTGTTGCTAATAAGACACCCATTGGACACCCCATTGACCACTTTTTCAAAAGTCAACCTATAGTTAACTACTTATAATAAACTTTTTCGGAAAAACAATGCAATTTCAACCAATAAAAATATTTTAAAATTAAATTAGGGTGTCTATATGGTAAAATAGGATGTCTTTTTAGCTCATAGCCTAATAATTTCAACAAATAAAAGGAAATAAAATGGGGTGTCTTTTATCTTTAGGAGATAGTTTCAATCAACAAATAAAAGGAAATAAATTTTATGATAAGTTATCAAATAAAGATAAAAGCTCATAGCCTAATAATTTAACATTGCTTTTGTTAACCACCAAGAGTAGTGCTTTGCAAATTATACCTGGCTAAATTATTATCTTTTAGGATACGTATTATTGCATAAGATTTCTTTTGGGATACGTATTATTGCATAAGATTTAATGATTGGAAGGTGATATGGCGTATACGGCTTAACGACACATTGAAAGCGAAATTTTCCTCCTAGTCCTAGTGGTACAAACTCCATTGTTAATATATAATTGATAAATTAATTATACGTTTATCTTTTGTCTCTATTATTTATCCACTTATACTAATATGTAAAATTCATTAGTTTTTTTTCCCTAGGGATGAGCGTGGGACAGAACTGACATCGACCCGTACTGTTTCCGATTTTCCGAAAACCGAATTTGATCGAAAGTTAATCCCGATTACCGAACCGAATTAACATCACTGGTACTGGTACCAGTTTTCGGTACCATTACCTGTACCGGTGGTACTAAATCCCGAATTTCATGTATTTGGAGTACCGAGTACTGTCCCATATTTTTAAATTCGGTACTGGTTCCGGTACAGTATCGGTACGAGATCGGGATTTGGGACAAACTGCTTATCCCTAGTTTTTCATTTTCATATATTTTTTTGATTTTTATACTTGCGTTAATCTAATGAGTAAAAAGATGAATAAAACCAAAAAATAAATGGATATTTGATTTGTATATAACTTTACACTAGCAAGTTTTGATTGGTAGTTCGAGAAACATTTTGTCATAACAATATATTGTTATGAAAAATGTCATTCTATTTTTCTATACCTAACGATATTTAAATGACCCTTATAAGTTATATCCCACGCATATTTCAATAATTTTTTATTTGAAAAAAATTTCATAGCAAAATATTCTTTTCTTTTTATCGTCGTTATTAATATGATCTGACTTACATATTTTTAATTTCTCCCGTTAATGAACTTTTAAGATTCTTACAAATAATAAATTGTCATTTTATATTATTTATATATAAAATATTGCACCGAAGGGATATATATATATATATTGGAATATTGCAAATGGTCTGCATAACTTGAAATTTCTCACAAAACTTCGTAAATTAATAAAACTTCTCATTGAAATATTAAATTAGTTTGTAATAAATATATAAATATTATTATTTATGGTCATCACACTTATCACATTTAATAATATAAATGTGATAAGTGTGATTTCTTTCCATATGGCTAGCTTGGCTCATACATATTTATGTGGAAAACTTAAAGCGGTCAAGAATGCCATAAAATATCGGAAAATGATTGATTCTGAAATTGAAAATAAAATCTTATTGGACCTGAAAAGCTGATTATGTGAGATTGATGCGGTTGCTGAAGAAAGACTCCTCACTGAGGATGAGAGGAAAGAAAGAAGAGACTGGAATCAGAGGGTCCTTGAGATGGAGAAATTGGCGAATCTCGATCTACAACAAAAATCTAAAATAAGATGGCTCACTGATGGTGACGAAAACTCAAGGTTCTTTCACAACTCCTTTAAAATTAAGAACAAGAAATGCAATATCCACTGGCTCATGGTTAATGGGACTTGGATAACGGAGGTCGAAGCTATTAAACTAGAAACTTGGAGATTTTTTGGGGACAAGTTTCGTGAAACCCACACCATCAGACCCGCTTTCTCCAACCCAAATTTTAAGAAACTGGATCCTACATATAACATTTTTCTGGAAGGGGATTTTTCTATCGAGGAAATTAAATATGCAATTTGGAACTGCGGGAGCGAAAAGGCCCCCGGACCCGACATATTTACTTTCAAGTTTTTTAAGAGATACAGGAGCATAATGAAGTTCGATATCATGAAGTTTGTTAAATTTTTTTAGGCTAGTGGTCAACTTGCTAGGGGGTGCAATTCATCCTTTATTACTCTCATCCCGAAGACTGACGGCCCTCTCACTCTAAATGACTTTTGCCCTATTAGCCTCATTGGATGTCTATATAAAATTATAGCAAAAGCCCTCGCTAACGGTTAAAAAAGGTCATTGGAGAGGTTCAAACCGGTTTCATCGAAAATCACAACATTCTTGATGGCCCGATGATTATCAATGGAATGTGTGGATGGGCTAAAAAAGCTAAACAAAAGACTTTTCTTTTCAAGGTCGATTTTGACAAGGCATTCGATTCCATTAACTGGAATTACTTGGACTCGGTTATGGGTCAAATGGGCTTTGGCAACCGTTGGTGATTTTGGATACGTGGTTGTTTGACATCTTCTAGAGCATCTCTTTTTATAAATGGATCCCCAACAAATGAGTTTAAAATCACAAACGGTGTGAGACAGGAGGACCCGTTGTCCCATTCCATATTCATTATCGCCATGGAGGGGCTAAATGTGGCCATGGAATCTGCTGTCTAAAACTCAGTTTATACTGGTGTGAAAATTCCCAATAACGGGCCGTCAATCTCTCATCTTTTTTACGCAAATGATGCGATTTTCGTTGATGAATGGAAGTGCTCGAATTTCTCCAACATGACACGTATTCTTAACTGTTTTCATGCAGCCTCGAGGCTTAAGGTAAACTTTCACAAATCAAAGGTTTTCGGTATTGGAGTCTCTAGCATCGATGTCAATATATGTGCTCAGGTTCTCAGATGTGGAGTTGCTGATTTACCACTCCCTTATTTAGGGGTGCCCGCCAGGGAAAATATGAATCTTAAGCGCAACTGGAGGCCTATAATTGAGAATGTTCAAGCTAAACTTTCCAGCTGTAAATCGAAGACTTTATCTTTTGGTGGCAGGGTTAACCTAATTAAATCAGTGTTTGGGAGCCTTCTGTTATACTACTTTTCATTATTTAAGGCCCCGTGTTCAGTGATTGAGTCTTTGGAAAGAGCCTTTCGTCGTTTCCTTTGGGTGGTAGTGACGAGAAAAGCAAGATCAACTGGGTCGCGAGGAAGACCGTTCTCGCAGCTAAAGAAGAAGGGGCCTAGGAGTTGGATCTTTAAAAACTCTTAATATCTCTTTGCTTTCCAAATGGCTATGGAGGCTAAGGACAAATAGCTCGAGCTTGTGGTGTTGTGTGAGAATTGGCGTGCACAACCTGTCCAGGAAACCTTTAAATAATTTAGCCGAAAAGACATTTCCTGGAGTTTAGCAAAATACGACCAAGATCATTGAAAACCTCCAAAGTATCGATATTGATTTTTCTAAAATCATCACTTGTAAAGTTGGGTCCGTATAAGATGTTCTTTTATGGCTTGATGACTGGCTTGGGGATGGATGTCGTGCTTCCCGTTTCCCTTTCCTTTATGCTCTCGATAAGAAAAAATCATACACTATTTCTGAACGTGTTTGTAGTCAAGGTGCTAAATGGGCCTGTATTAAATCTCTTCCTCCTCCTCCTCCCCCTCCCCCCCCCCCCCCCCCCCCCCGAGTTGTTGAGCTGGCCCAGTTAAATACTTTGGTTAATAATCTTAATCTCTACAGTTCCAAAGATTCCCGGTCTTTCAATCATCTCGTCCGATGGTATCTTTTAAGTTCGAGATCTTTGGCGCCTCATCGTCTCAAAGGTTACTTCTGGTGCTCCCAATCCCATGATTAGTCCCACTCAAGATTTGCAGCTTTGTGTGGAGGGCCTGTATAGATCGAATTCCTACTGCCCTTGCCCTCTCTCGGAGGGGTGTTAGCCTCCCCACCACGACTTGTCATTTATGTTTATATGGGACAGACTCGACATACCATATCATTGTCTGTTGCTCGTTTACCCAGGAGGTTTTCTGTTGGATTTTTCGTTGGTGTAACATTCTCCCTCCATGCTTTCATGATGTGGACAGTATGGTGAATTTTGCTGCTAATTGGGGACATTGCCCCAAGAAGCATAAAATCCTTCTCGATCATTTATGATGTCTTTTGGTGTGTTTGGAAGATCGGAAACGGCAAGACTTTCAACAATATGGTGTTCCGCCCCTACCATGTGAGATATTTAAAAACTTTTTGTAGTTAATGACGTAAATAGCAACTGTAATTGCTAGTTCATCTTTGAGCACATTATTTAGAAAAATTAACAAAATATAAAGTTGATGATTTAAGAACATATTAATTTAAACTAAATATGCAATATACATTATTATTATTTTATAAAGATTAAAATTAATGAGATAAGACAAATTACAAGTAAAACATAAATTTATAAGTGAAATTTTAATAACCTAAGTGAATAATGAGACAAACCAATACCATAGAAAGAACACTTTACAATGAAAAGATAAATTTATAAATAATTTTTTAACGGGTCCGTTAAGTTGTAAAAGTGATAATCGACTCTAACTAACTTGTGATGATATGGCAAAGTCTAGCAACATTCTATCAACATGTTAATACATTTTCAACAAACTAAAGAAAGTTACTATAAAACCTTTTTAATTTATTTTTTTATCACAAAGTCGATGAATTTTTTATAACACTTACAACTTCTCTTTTGATCACTCTCACTCTCTGCGGGTATATATACATATTCTCCGCGCTTATCCCAAAAACAAACCGCCTTCTTCGATTTGCTCAATACTCTCTCTCTCTCTCTGTACTCCAGTTTCCTCTGAACTCTATTTTTATAAACCCTTTTTGCGATTTTCTTCCATCTCTGCGATGGATTCATCGATTTTAGTCACCGGTGGTGCTGGTTTCATAGGCACTCACACTGTTGTGCAACTTCTTAATCAAGGATTTAAGGTTACGATCATCGACAATCTTGATAATTCCGTCGAAGAAGCAGTTCATAGAGTCAGAGAATTAGTCGGTTGCGAGCTCTCACGTAATCTTCAATTTCATTTGGTAAATATTCTACACTTGTTCGTGATTTATTTTTCGACCGACTGTGTGTGTCGTTAACGAAAATGTCAGAACTATCAGGATTGTAAGACCGAAAACGAAACTACATTAAGACTCGAATTGATTTTTTCTAGTTACGTAGGTTTACGGATTTCTTTATGGTGATGAACTCTTGGAATACATGTGAGGATTATAAACATTCTTAAAAATCAAATTAAATAAAGGAGTTATTTGTTGTTTTAAAAGTTTGAAGCCGTAAGCCTGTTAATCCGCGTGATTCACCTTATGATCGTGAGTTTAGGTTTAACTGTGTATGAATTTTATGTTTTATTGGTAATTGGAACGGGTCAGTAGGGTTTACCCTAAAATCTGCAACCATTTGTATTCAAGGATTCTACTGATTGCAACTGTTTGCTAGTAATGTCTGAATTCATACGTTTTTACTATAGTAGCTGGAAATATCCGATCTGAACATCTTTAACTGTAGTAATATTTATTTTCTTATTTGATTATGTGATCAGTAAAACATATTACAGGAATCAGTAGACATTAGGTCTTAATCACTAGTTTCAAGAAAGTGTTAATCTAATTTATATATAAACATGTAATTTTGTTGCTTATAGCCTTGCTTCTAATCCAATCCTATATTGCTATTATCTGCAAAACAGAGATGAACATCTGATAGAGTCAGATATGAATATTGATGATCATGTTTATTGTGTTTATCATTAACCAAATAAGGAATGCGAATTATATTTTGTGGTAATTGCTGGTTGCAGGGTGATATCAGGAATCAGCAGGATTTGGAGAAGCTGTTTTCCCAAACCAAGTATGTAAAATTTCACACGAATGTGTCCAGTGCTATACTTTATTCTATAATTCATAATAAGAGTAGTAAATGGATTGTGTTGTAACTTGTAATTATAGGTTTGATGCTGTGGTACACTTTGCTGGGCTGAAAGCTGTGGGTGAAAGCGTGGCCCATCCATTCCGTTACTTTGATAATAATTTGATCGGATCCATCACTCTGTACAAAGTCATGGCCAAATACAATTGTAAGAAGGTCAGTCTTCAAACACGTACCCTGTCTTGTCTTTCACACTGATCTTGGATTCAAGATATATTCACCTAATTTTACATGTTGACATGCATGCAGTTGGTTTTCTCTTCATCTGCAACTGTTTATGGACAGCCGAAGAAAATTCCATGTGTTGAGGACTTTGAACTCAAGGCAATGAATCCATATGGGCGCACAAAGGTAGTAGTAGTAGTAGTAGTGAGTTTATATAATTGATACAAATGTTTGAAATTTGATTGTTTATTTTTATGTATGTGTGTTGGTTAGCTGTTCCTTGAAGAGATTGCTCGAGATATTCATAATGCAGATGGGGAGTGGAAGATAATACTGCTGAGATACTTCAATCCTGTTGGAGCTCATGAGAGTGGGAAACTTGGTGAAGATCCGATTGGGATCCCAAATAATTTGATGCCTTACATACAACAAGTAGCTGTTGGAAGATTACCAGAGTTGAATGTTTATGGTCATGATTACCCCACAAAGGACGGCAGTGCCGTATGTATCTTATCTATCTGTTCTTGTTATAGCAGTGTACTTACAGTGATTTTCCTTATAAGTATTAAAAAAGGAATCATAATTTTTTCTTTATCTTTGCAGATCCGGGATTACATCCATGTGATGGATTTGGCTGATGGTCATGTTGCAGCACTTAAAAAGCTTTTCACAAAACAGGATATAGGTGAGAGAAAACAGTCGCTAGTTATATTTCATTTATTGTGCTGCTGACGTGGATTTGTGTCATCCATCTTGTTTAGGTTGTTTTGCCTGCAACCTGGGGACCGGTAGGGGGACCTCTGTGCTTGAAATGGTTACTGCCTTTGAGAAAGCATCTGGAAAGGTTGTTCCGGTTTTTATATATAAATATATTCCTACATGACTAGGAAGGAATATTAATTTGTACATTTATTATGAAATGAAATCCGTATGTATTCCCTAACAACTTAGCTGTTGGTTATTTTAGAAAATCCCCATTAAACTGTGCCCAAGAAGGGCTGGAGATGCTACAGAAGTTTATGCCTCTACCGATAAAGCTGCAAAAGAGCTTAATTGGAAGTAATGTCTTTTTTTTCTAAATTGTGCAAATATCTTTTTGGTAAAAGGTAAAGTTGGATGAATTATGTTATATATATTTTGTTGTGGTTTGCAGGGCAAAATATGGGATTGAGGAGATGTGCAGGGATCAATGGAATTGGGCAAGACAGAACCCATGGGGATACCAGAAGCCACCCACCAAAAAAGGAGGCTGATGAAGAATGGTCTTCAAGTAGTTGAGAATTGTTGGAAACTACTTAATAATGAAAGTCTTTTAGCATATATGAGTCTGAGTCAAATGGTCAAAGCAGGTAATCTGAAGATGGATTAATTGCAAGAATAGTTTTCTGTGAATACGTTGATTGGTTTCAACTTTCAAGCTAATCAAATGACATGACGCAAGTCATATATATCAAAAGAGTCAAAGTGTGCATTGCATGGTTTTAAGTTTTCATTATTTGTGGAGGAGTAATAAATTTGGGTTAATGAAAAATTCAAAAGTTTACTTCGCCATTATATATATAATATATCCAACTTGGCACATGTATATGTCTCTTTAATAATTAAGGTTATATAGTGTAGTCGCTATTATGAATTATCTAGTTTGTTTGGCATATTACGACTCCTTGTTTTTCAGTTAGGCAAGGCAAGGCTATTTTGGCGCAAGCGCAAAAACCTAACGTTATTTGATCTTATCCATTCTTTCTGCATTTATTATACTAGCGGTGATGCAACTTTCCACGTTTTTCTTCGTTTAATCATTTTACAAATAATTGAGTTGTTTAAGATGATTAAAAGAATCCATGGTTTTTTCAATGATAATAATAATAATAATAATAATACTTTTTTTTTTAAATCAAGCTCTACATATTTGGTTTTTTGTTTGATATGCTTTTATATTAGCTCAAAATTTTAAATTTTACTAACTATTTTTCTTGAAAAACGGCAAACGAATTCTGCGGGGTGCCTCATCATAATATATATTTCTTTAAATCAAAGTATATCCTAAATCTATTCCTCGCACGCCTACCTATTAGTTGGTCGAAATTTGTCGGACTCCACGTTCATGATTATCTCATCTTCATTTCAATCGTTTCTTTTTATTCTTTTACCTATAAAAAATTATAAAATATACACCACAGATAGATTCCGACTCAAACAGATATATGCAACTTTAAATTAGAAAAAGTCAAAATTGTAAAAATGGTCTCTGTGTTATGCAGTTTTTTTGGGTTTTAGTTTGAACCCCGAGTCTTTTGGATTCATGGTCCTTTCAGAGTGGTTTGTATGTGAAAATAGTCCCTCCGAAAATTGAAATGACTATAATATCCTTGGGGTATTTATTTTTCATTTTTATTTCATTTTTTTAAATTTAATATTTATTTATTTATTTTAACAATTAAAAAAATAACAAAGGACCTCTCTCTCTCTCTCTCTCTCTCTCTCTCTCTCTCTCTCTCTCTCTCTCTCTCTCTCTCTCTCTCTCTCTCTCTCTCTCTCTCTCTCTCTCTCTCTCTCTTATGATCCATCACCCAAAACACCCACTCTCATTCTAGAACCAGTGAAGAAGAAGGAAAGGACCTGTGATTCTTCGCCGGTAGTAGCAGGCCCAACCTTCTCCGCCTATTTCCACCGAGCACCCACTGTCAAACACCCCCGAAATTGTTGTTGTACTGTCCCGATACCCCTTCACAGCCCTCTCAACGACTGTCATCCCGTTCGTCTCCTTCCCCTGTCGAAGAACTAGAATCACCGGTGATGTTTTCCTGGTTCCCCACTGCCGCCACCTCCATATCCCCTTCCCTTCCTCCTTCCGCTTAGAAATACCACCATAAGCACCCTCTCCGGCTGTTGCTACCCTTCTCAACCCCCACAACCCCGATTGGAGGCTTGAACCGCCAGAAAAATCGACTCCTCCTTCGTGCTTCATAGCGAATCAGGAAAAGAAGAAAGAAAGAAGACTATTGTTGCTTTCGGTCCCTTTTCGTCTCCGATCAGATGGGATTCGAAGACACATTCCATTTCGTTTGACTGACAGGCCAAACACAACCACCACAAGTCTCAATTTTCACCCTTATTGATCGATTGAACTCCTCAGGACCACCGGCAATCGATTTTCCTTCCTGTGTTGCAATTGATTGGACCAGCAGACAAAGTAGGTCGTCGGAGCGGCCCTGCAGTGCCGACGCCCTTCCTCATCCCCTCTTCGCGACCCGTTTAACCAGGACCGGTACCCGTCGATTGTGGCCTTGTTCTTCTCAGCTTTCGTCAGTCGCGTTCCCGCTGCTCCTTCGACCAGACGAAGACGAAGAGGAATAGACCCCCTCTCGTTTTGATTGTATTGGTTTATTAGAGAGAGAGAGAGAGAGAGAATGGGGTGTTGGCCCCATTTATATTATATTAATAAAACATTAAATTAAATAGGAAAAAATATAACAAATATATCAAGAGGGCAATTTAGTCATTTTAATTTTCGGAGGGACTATTTTTACATACAAACTAGTCCAAAAAACCACGAATCCAAAAAAGTCATGGTTTTGACTAAAACCAAAAAAAATGCATACCACAGGGACCATTTTTGCAATTTTGTCTTAGAAAAAAGGTTACTGCCATAAAATACATCCTACTTCTCACTTATCGGTGATCATGAATGTATTTTTTTTTCCAATTCACGGATTTTTAAAACTTCTTGAAAGTACAATAAGGATTTTTTAATAGTAAATTACACGAATCGTTTTTCGTGCAGGTGTTAAAATGCACGTTAAGTCTCTATTTTCAAAATTAAATCAGATCGTCTCTTGGATGTTTTAAATTTGCACACTCGATCCTTTACCAAATTTAAAATGACTATACTACCCTTACTATTTTATTTTTTATTTATTTATAATTCATTTTATATTAAAAAAAATAAATTACACCTCATATATCAATCACTTTTTCCTCTGATATTAGTTGAACACATAAAACATCCTTATCACCACCTACCGGACCACCACCACCGACGACCACCTCCGATGCCGGATGACCGCCTACACCATCGATGGACCACAACCCCTCTCCATCCTTCTCTGTAATGCCTTGTTCTAAAATATTCATTTATGGATTTCAGAAGCCAAGGCTAGGGGCGTTTTGGTCACTTATGGGCTTTGAGTTTTATTCGAGAAGGTTTCGGGCTGGGGTGTGTTGCTAGAAGCGTAGGGCTTCTCGCCACCTTTCCGTGGAAATAAAGTTCATCGGAAACGGATCTAGAATGAAGGAGTTATGACACTTTGAAGATATTGTCAATAATGGTCCCTAAAGGAAATGTTTGGCAAGGAGGACCCATGCATGCAAAGAAGGCATGCACGTGTTTGGCTGGGTACGCCCATCGTAAGCTGGGTTACGCCCAACGTATAAAGGGAAAGGATCGCGGGTGTGTTTAGCGTACGCCCAGCGTACTGGAGGTACGCCCAACGTACGCCCAGAGTCCAGAAAGCCCTAAATTTAGGGTGTGCCACTATATAAGGAACATTATACCCTCAAGGCCAGCCTCCTTATCACCCCTAGATAGTTTTCACGAAACCCTAAACCTCCCTTGTGTGTTTTTGGAGCTTGGAGGCCTTGGAAGAAGGATTCTAGTGTTGTAAAGCCATTTTCTCAAACAAGTGAAGAGCAAGGAGAGTGGTGGACCAAAGGATAAGATATAGATATGTGATATTGGCTTCATTTCGGACCTTTTCAAGGTAAAAAGTTTTGAGCTTGATGATTAATCTCTTAGATCTCTCTTAGTACAAGTTTATGGACTATTTTGGTCCCAAGAATGGATCTTTGAGACTCAAGCACGTTTCTAAGTCCAGGGTTGCCTCCCTTAGAGTCATATGAATCCCTTAAGCAGTAAAGTTCCAACCTTTAGGACTTATTTGTGTTCATGCATGATCTCTAGCCCTTGGAATGAAAAGTATGTTGTCCCCTTTTGAGTTTGGGCTTATTTGGTGGATTGCAAGTCACCAAGTTAGTGACTTTATGAATTAAGACATGGAAGAGGACTTGGATCTGGGTTTGTAGCCTTTGGATCGGAGTATTAAGCACTTAATGGAAAAGTGGCTTAACAGGGCTGTACGCTGGGTGTACAAGGAGGTACGCACGGCGTACAAGTCATCAGCCAGTACGCTTAGCGTACGCCCCACGTACTCTGCCAGTTTGGGTTTTGAGTAATTGGGCCTCGGTGTGGGCTGTGCTTTGGACTTTGGGTCTTTGGGCCTTAGTGAGCCATCATGAGTCAGTTAATATGGGCCAAGTATATGTGTCTGGGCTTAGGGCAAGGCCCAATAAAGGTATTGGGGCCCAATATAGCAAATTGGGCCATTAGTGGGCCACTAGTGGGCTTGGAAAGCTTACATAGTGTTGGGCCTTAGTTTTGGGCCTTAGATATGGACCAAGTTGGTCTAGGGGTAGAATGGTCGTTTTACCCCCAGAAGGATTATTGTATTGGGACTAAGTGATGTTTGGTATTGGTAGTCGGGAAGCTGAAGGGTCAGCAGTTCGGGAATTGCCAGTCAGCAGCCAGAGGAGTATCAGCAAGGTTCAGCAGTGCAAGGTGAGTCTCCTCACTCTTTGTATGGGTCTACGGCCACAATGCCGGCCCATTTAGTTTATGTATGGTAGGAAGACCCGGGGGTTAGCCCTAGGCATTATGCATGAAAGACCAAGAGGAGGCTCCTGGAACACAGTATGTTATTATGTATGGTAGGAAGACCCGGGGGTTAGCCCTAGGCAACATGTATGAAAGACCAGGAGGTGGCTCCTGGCACAGTGTATGCTATGAAAGACCAGGAGGTGGCTCCTGGCACACTGTATGCTGAGTAGCCTAGTAGAGTAGTATGTATAGTTGTCTTTGAGATGCTTGCATGGAAGACCATGGGGTGGCCCTTGGCACTTGTCTGTAAGACCCAGGGATTGGCCCCAGGCTTGACAAGAAAGACCACGTGCGGCCCGTGGCATAACATCAAGACTATGTTTGGCACATAACACCTTACTTGATTATGGATATGTTTGTATGTATGGCTCATGGTTATGTATGGCATGTATGGATCAATTGATATGTATGGTGAGTGGTATTTGGGGAACTTACTAAGCTTCGTGCTTACGACTTTCAGCTTTTGTTTCAGGTACTCATGTTTTCAAAGGAATGAGCTCGGGACGATCGCAGCGCATCACACTATGATTTCCGCATTTTATGATCTTTGGGATTTGAACTCTGATAATTGTTTTAGTAAGAATGTTATTAAATGATTGAGAAAAATTTATTAAGCGGTTTTTAATTAATCAAAACGAAATTTATGGTCTTAAATTTTGGGATGTTACAAGTTGGTATCAGAGCCTTGGTTTGAGGGATTCGGATACACTTTCGGGTATGTCTGAACTCAAACTGAGGACTTGGTATGAAAATTTTCAAAGAAAATCTTTTTTATAAAAAGGAACTTTGAAAAGAGAAAAGAACTCAAAAAGGAAAGAACTTTGAAAAGAACAAGATGTCTGATGCGTGCAATCAGCCGAGCTCAAGTAAGTGGTTCCCAAAATACCAATACATATTTATTATGTGATATGATATGATTATATGAATCGCATGCTAGATTATGTTTAAGGATCTAAGAGATATGCCTTTGTATGCTTATGTGAACTTGTAGAATTGCATGCTAGAACTGGTTAGCCAGTAGTAGGATGGCATGTTTAGGTTATGCCTGATTGTATGGGCCTTTGAATTGCATGCTAGTACAGACTCTTGAGTAGAGGATAACTTGATTGGAATATGTTGGTTAGATTTTCCATTGTCTGAATGCTGCTTGCTTTGTGCTTTGTGGGATTTCAAGTGATAGGAGTTAACTACTAGATGAATACGTTAAGTCACATGTGACCAGGGTTGAATAATCTCAGAGTGCTGGATTTGACCCTACCGCGCAGCTCTCGTTTGAGTCTAACCGTTGTAAGGATGAGTCTTTTACTCAAACGATTATCCGAGCCTCGCCACATGTGATGGTATTCATGTAGTGGTAAATTGGCATCATGAAGAGTCTCTCAGCAGCTGAGTACTGGGTGGGTTCGGGAACCTAGGAAAGCCTAGGAGGAGAGCGACAGAGTGCAACAGAAGTAGAAGGGACTTGGTGAAGTCGAAGCAATCCTTGAGGAAAGTACGGATAGATGTGGAAGGTAGTATAGGCCCGTACTACTGAAAGCAGAGGATCCGTACTCGAGTCAAGGAGGGTCGAGATAGAACCAGTAAACTTGTAGTATGTGAGACCTTCCGAGGTTACGTATGACCCTGGCAATTTTGTGTTTCGTTTCAGAATGGTGATGATTACGCGACACGGAGCAGGAGGATCAGGATCCGGTTCAGGATCATGTTCCGAGCCAGTGGATGAGGGACTACGCGAGTTCATCGCGTCTGAGATGACAAGAGTTATCCTTGAGTCGACCCAGGTGATTTTCGGTTCGATCAAGGAAGGGATTATTGAGCTGATGGAGGATCGCCTCAGAGCGTTCCGGAGTGACATGTCATCCAGCCAGTCAGGATCGCGCACACTGTCCTTCAAGGACTTTAGGGGGAGTGGTGCGCCAGATTTCCACGGGGTGAAGGACCCCATTGCCGCTAGGAGATGGATTGCAGACATTGAGTCTGCACAGTTGACGAGCTTCTGTCCTGAGGGGTCGAAGGTTCGATTTGCTGCGGGATGTTTGAGGGACAGAGCTAGAGACTGGTGGGAGTCAGTTGGTGATTCCTTGGGAGCCTCAGTCATTGAGGCTGAGGCTATGACCTGGTCTGACTTTGTGACCAGGGAGTTCCTAGACATGAGACAGACGACAGAATCGGTGGCGGAGATTACCGCCAAGTTTCGGGAGAGGGCCTTATTGGTGCCTCAGTATGCAAGCGATGAGGAGATGCGGAGGAACCAC